TTGAGTTTGCTTTTGTTTGTCTTTTGGTAACAGTTTGTCTGTCTGAATCAGGATTTAAATAAGTTCAATTTATTGGTCTTGGTTGACATGTCTCTGACACATCTCTTACTGTCCTTAGTCGCTCAGTCATGTCTGACTCTTTGTGGCCCCATGGACTGTAACCCACCAGGTCCTCTGTCCATGGGGATTCTCCGGGCAAGAATACTGGAGTGGGTTGCTGTGCCCTCCTACGGTAGATCTTCCCAACCCTGGGATTGAACCCATGTCTCCTGCATTGCAGGAGGATTCTTTTACCAAATGAGCCACCAGGGGAGCCCAACACATCTCTTAGTGAAAGTTGCTCAGTCATGTCTGACTCTTTGGGACCCCATGGACTATACAGTCCCATGGAATTCTCTAGGCCAGTATACTGGAGTAGGTAGCCTATCCCTTCTCCAGGGGATATTCCCAACACAGGGATTGAATCCAGGTCTCTTGTATTGCAGGCGGATTCTTTACCAGCTAAGCCACAAAGGAAGCCCAAGAATACTGGAGTGGGTAGCCTATCCCTTCTCCAGTGGATCTTCCAGACCCAGGATTTGCATCTCTTAAGCCCCTCTGAATTTAAAGTTTCCTACTACTGACCATAAGTGATACTGGGCACTTTTTCCTTGCTTATTCACCACTCGTGTGTGTATCTTATTTTGTGAAATATCTTTTCAAGACTTTTGCCCAAGTTTTTAAAAACTGGGTTTCTCACATTTTTATTGAGATATAGAAGTTCCTTCTATAGTCTGAACACAAGCCCTGTGTATGTGTGTGTGAAATATTTTCTCCCATTCTGTGACCTATCTATTCATTCTTTTGCAAGTGAAGGCGAAGTCGCTCAGTTGTGTCTGACTCTTTGTGACCCCATGGACTGTAGCCTATCAAGGCTCCTCCGTCCATGAGATTTTCTAGGCAAGAGTACTGAGTGGGTTGCCATTTCCTTTTCCAGGGGATCTTCCCGACCTAGGGATTGAACTCGGGTCTCCCGCATTGTAGGGAGATGCTTTTACCATCTGAGCCAGCAGGGAAGTCCATGAAGTTCAATATACCAAGTTTTTCTTTCTTCATGCTATCTGGGTCCTTCTCTGTACTCAGTAAAGGTATTATACTTAACATTATTAAATTCCTTTATGATTGTTGGAGCAGGGTGATGAGGGTCACTAATTAGCAAAATCTTAGAGGCTAAGATGGTAAGTTATGACATTTAAAAAATCGAGGTGTAGTTAACACATTAGTTTTAAGTGTACAATGATTCAATATTTGTATATACTAAGAATTGAGCACAAATTGTTGCTAGTTAACATCCATCACCACAGGTAGTTACAATTTTCTTGTGACAAGAACTTTTAAGATCTTCTCTCTTAGCAACTTTCAAGTATATAATACACTGTTGTTATCTGCAGTCACTATCCTATACATTACATCTCCATGACTTATTTTATAACTAGAAGTTTGTACAATTCTGTTCACTCATCTTGCCTGTGGCATGTTTTCAGAAAATGTCTGTATTATTTTGTCCTCTTACTTATTCTAAAAATAACAGCTCCTCTTAAAAACGATTCAAAATAAAGCAGAAAGTAAAAGCCCTTCATTGCTGGGTGTATGTGTGGGGGGTGGTATTGGGGATGAGGAGCTATGAAGTAAAACTTAGAAATGGCTATTACATCCTAAAAGAATGATTTTTATACTTTCAAGCAAAAAATCTTGACATGACCAAATCAAAACAATCACGCCCATGTTCAAGGCTCCAAATCAAAATACACCCTACCGTGGAGCAGCTAGATGGAACTGTCCTGTCACTCTGCTGAGTGTACTGGTTTTTAAGTCAATTTAAGTTTTTTATTTGGAAACAATCACAAGTTAAAGAAAAGTTAGAAATATAATACAAAGAAACATTTTTCTAAACCATGTGTGAGTTGGTTGCCAACCGGATTGCCCCTTTCTGTAAAACAGTTCCTGTTTTCTATAAAAGGACATTTTCCTACAGAACTGTAATATCACTATCCGTAGTACTGAGGCATTATGGCCATCCAGCCCTCAGACCCCATGTAAGTTTCTCCAGTTGTTTCAATGATGTCCTTTGCAGCAGAGGGTCTAGTTTAAAAGCACATGTTACACTGAGTTGTCATGCCCTTTGTCTTCTTCAACTTGGGGCAGTCTGTCTATTCTCAGCTTTCCTGACCTGGATGCTTTGGGACCCGACAGCATATCCCTCAATTCAGGTACATCTGATGTCTCCTTTCTATGAGATTGAGAGTATATATATTTTGGGGGGGAGTGTCACAGAACTGGTGCTTTCTTCCCATCTCATCCTGCCACTTGGCCCTGATTTCCATTTGTCCCATGACTGATGATGTCCAGTTTGAACACCTAAGTTGGTATCTGACCCTGTAAAGTTGCTATTTCCCCCTTTGTATTTAATAATATTTTGTAAACAGTATTTTGAAACTATGTACATACCCAATTTCTCCTCACGTGTTCCATTTATTCACTGATTATTCGTATCTGTGTGCAGACATGGCTCCCTACTTTATCAACAGGTTGTAATCTGTTACTCTCATTATTAATTATTATATGCCAATTGTCCATCATGTGACCAGTGGCAGTCCCTTCACGCTGGCTTTTGTATCCTTTTGTTCCCGTTATTTTTTTGAGCAGTTTCTTGGTTGGGGAAGATTTTCTTATCTTTTTCCTGTTCCAGCACTGAATTGAACCTTTTTCTCTAAAGAGCCCTGGTTTCTTTTGGTGGAAAACAGCATTTATAAACTGACACTTGGGTGTATATATTATATATATGCTTGTATATTTTAAGAGGGTTTCTGCTCTTAAGCTGTCTCAGTGAAAAGTGCGAGGGAATATACTGAAGGCCTGTGAATTAGAGTATGCATTTTTAATAAAACCCCTGGCTGATTCATGCATGCATTAAAGTTTCAGGAGCACTGCCCACCTACCGCGTAATGACTGCCGTGTCCTAACCAGCTGTTGGCGTACCAGCTGTCGCAGCTCCATCTCAGGCATCAGGAAGGAGAAAGGAGGCAGGAGGACTCACCCCTGTGCCTCACTTTCCTTTAATCCCAGAAAACCCTCGCGGCAATCCTGCTAACATCTTGCTTAGAACTTGTTCACGTTGCATGCAAGGGAGCAGGAAAATCTAGTTTTTCTAGTTTTTCAATTCTTCCTGGAGAAGGAAATGGCAACCCACTCCAGTATTCCTGCCTGGGAAGTCCCATGGCGAGAGGAGCCTGGCAGGTTACAGTCCCGTGGGTTGTAAGAGTCAGACATGACTCAGCGACTAAACAGTAACAGTAACAACCATCGTGTCTGCCCACCTCACCTTCTGCCCGGCCCAAGAATGCAGCGAGGGCCAGATTTCAAGGACCAGCAAGATAAACCAGAAAGCATGGGGTGCAGGGTTTAGCACAGAGTCTTAGCTGGGAGACTCTAGAAACCAAGCCCCCTAGATTGAAACCCCAGCACCAGGACTTACCAGCTGTAGGGCTTTCAGTAAGTTACATCTCCTTGCTAGACCTCAGTGGCCTTCTCTTAAAAGGAATGAGCACAGGCCAACCTCACAGGTTCTTGTAAGGATGTAATGGAAAAACGCATAATAATAATAATAATGATAATGATGATAATAGTAATAATGCAAAGCTCTTGGAGTGCCTGGCTCACGGAATTCTACACGAACAGAAGTTATTATTACTGAGCAGAACTACCACGAGCAAAGACATGACCTCCCTGCAGACAGCTGCCAAGTCTGACAGTGGATTTGGGTCCAGAGACCCATCGACAGGAAGTATGAAAACCACTAACTTGGAAGTGCTAGTTATTTACTTAATACTGTCATCCGGTATTCCCACCAGCTTAGAGAAGAAGGCAAGCAGCTTCAGCTTCACTGACTATTTAACACCCTTGTGACAAATCCCCAGGACTTTCCTGTCTGTCGTTATTTTATGGCGCAGTATCTTTTCTTTCCATGAGTTTGGTTTCCCTTCTTGACTATTAGAACTGCATTTTTTTTTTTTTTGGAACAACACTTAAGTAAACAAAAAACCAACATGCTAGATAGAGCGTTTGACCTTACACTCATCTTTTCCACAGTAAAGCCCGCAGCCACCACTGTCCTTTCACAAGGACTTAGCAAATGCTGGCAAATCCACATTTGTCACTGGATACATGAAAAGGGACACTATCATTTTCTTAGATAAACATCCTGGGCAATTTGGTTTCTTTTACTTTGTCATTAACAACCGGTTTTGCTGAGGGCCTTAGGGGACCTTGAATGACCAGTTCTTATTATTTCAACCTCTTCACTAGCTTATCATTTGGATTTGTCATTCTAACATATTTGCCAATGGCTTACAGGTATCATTGAAAGAAATTCCTAAGATAAACAAAGAGCATTTCTTTCTTGTTTTTTCTGAGATCCGTGTCTCCATAATAGGGAGTTGAAGAATGTCAACAAGTCTGTGAGCAGGTGTTTAGGCAAAGCCAGGACTCAATGTCCCCAGCAGCCTCTGTTGAGCCCTTTTGGCCACTTCCCAGTTTGGCTGAAACAGTTGCAAGTGATCCCTTTGCCTCTTTAACCTATGATTTATTTAAACTAAGACCTAAATGACACCTGGTTGGCCACCGCATGGACCAGAGAAGCGAGAAGAGTAACAGCGCCCCCTACAGGTGCGTGCCTGTGACAGTGAGCTGCTAAGTCGCTTCAGTCCTATCCGACTCTGTGCGACCCCATAGACGGCAGCCCACCAGGCTCCTCTGTCCCTGGGATTCTCCAGGCAAGAATACTGGAGTGGGTTGCCATTTCCTTCTCCAACGCATGCATGCATGCTAAGTCGCTTAGTCGTGTCCAACTCTGTGTGACCCTGTGGACAGCAGCCCACCAGGTTCCTCTGTCCGTGGGATTCTCTAGGCAAGAATACTGGAGTGGGCTGCCATTTCCTCCTCCGTGACAGTGAACTAGACCATCAGAAACCTCTCCTAGGGCCCCTTGAAGCAACAGGGTTCTGTCCCCTGGTATCTGGCCAGATGGCAAGTGCAAACTGGTGATTAATGGAGACAGTAAGGGTGGTACCGACTGCCAGTGTCTCCAGGAGCCCAGAGACTGGTCCCTCCCTGTTGTCTCTAGGCGGGCTGTGGGAGCTACAGCTGGGGTCTTTCCAGCCGGTTTTCCCCTCTTCTTCCCCTTTCCCTTCTCCTCCACTCCAAATGAATCTAGTGGGTTTGATAAGCCACCGTGTTCCATCCTGTCCACAGGGTAGGTTATGACCCAGCCAGGGCAGTCTTGGATCTGCCTCCCTTTGGATGTGGTTGAGCAAGCTGGAAATCTGTATGTCATCCATGACACCAACCACCCGCTCACCAGCTGTATCAAAGCTGTCAAGGCCTGCCAATCTCACCACTGACATTTCTTTCTTGCCCGTCTCCCAGGTCATCCTAATCCCAGCTGTCATTTTCTCTTTCCCAAACCACTGTCTAGCTTCTAACTGAAGTTTCCACATCCTTCTGGACCACCTTCATCTAGTCTACTGCAGTTAGAGTCCTTCTTTCAAAGGACAAATATGGGACTTCCCAGGCAGTCCAGAGGTTAAGAACTCGCATGCCGATGCAGGTTATATGGGTTTGATCCCTGGTCCAGGAAGATGTCACATGCTGCTGGGCAAGCAAGCTTGTGCATCACAACTACTGAACTTCTGAGCCCACGTGCTGTAAAGCCAGCCCCACAATGCGAGGAGCCGCCACGATGAGAAGGCCACACTCCTCAGCTAGAGGAAGCCCCTGCTCAGCAAGGAAGACCTAGCAAAACAAAAAGAAAATTAAACAAAGAAAAGGACAAATATGATTGTGTCACTCCACCCATATCCTGTGTCTATCCTGGCTTCCCATGGCTTTAGTACAGAAACAAACAAAAAAAAAAGTTTTTAATGTTTATTTGACTACGTCAGGTCTTAGTTGTACTATGCAGAGTCTTTCTTGGACCATGCATGATTTTTTTTGTTGCAGCACACAGACTCTCTGGTTGTGGTGTGGGGGCTCCAGACCTTACAGGCTGCAGTAGTTGCTGTGTGCAAGCTTAGCTGCTCCACAACACGTGAGAGCTTCCCCTAACAAGGACTGAACCTCAGTCCTCTGCCTTGCAAGGTGGATTCTTAACCACTGGACCACCAGGGAAGTTCTGACAAAATTTTTCTAATGTCACCCCCAAGGTACTCTACGGACCGCCACGTTTCTCCTATCTTACTTGAACTGCTCTCTGCAGGCCTTCCTGCAGCCCCAGGCCTTTAAATTAAAATGCTGCTTCTTCTACCCTACAGAACCCCCACCCTGACTCTTCACCTAGGGCACTCATCGGTTTGATCTTAGCTCAAACATCATTTACTTAGGAAAGCTTTCCCTGACCTCCAAGGTCAAGGCCTCTTATATACTCTCATAATACCACCTATTTCTTTCTCAACTCACTTGGCCACACTGCCATCTTGCACTTGAAGCCATTGATTTATATTTGTCTCTTCCTACTGATTATGAGCTTCATGACTATGGTGTCATTTTGCTCATTACCTAATGAAGAAAATGACACCATAGTCATGAACTTCCCTGTGACTCAGCTGGTAAAGAATCCGTCTGCAATACAAGAGACCTGGGTTCTATCCCTGGGTTGGGAAGATCTCCTGGAGGAGGGAATGGCTACCCACTCCAGTATTCTGACCTGGAGAATTCCATGAACTGTATAGTCCATGGGGTCACAAAGAGTTGGACATGACTGAGTGACTTTCACCTCCTACGGATTTTGAGCTTCATGACTATGGTGTCATTTTGCTTATTATATTTATTGGATGACTGACAATAAATTGGTCCAAGTGGTGAGCAAGCATAGGCTGGGCTGACTGGAGCTTTTCCCCAGCTTTCCCAAGTCAAAGGTGGAGGAGAATGGTTCTCTTTTATTTTGGGCTCAGGAGTTTCCAGGAGGCAGGCTCTAGGTTGCAGATGACCATCTTCCCTGCCTTATCTGTCCCCAAGATGAAACCCAGCAAGTGGAGAGGAGACATGGTCATGCCAGCATGGCGTCCCTCATTTCATCCTCAGGCCCCAAGCTCAGGAACTCTCCCCCTAGCTCTTCAAGCCTCCCCAAGTCATTCCCAGCAGTGAGAGCCAGTAAAACCCCAGGTTGAAAAAGCTGGTTGGGGTTTTGCAACTTGCAACAGAAAGATCCTTGGCTCAGGCAAGTTAACCTGGTGGCGTGAGCCGAGAGACTGGAGAGACTTTAAGTCAGGACTTTAACAATCAGCCTAAAGGCAAGTTAAAATTGTATTTGACATGGCAAATTTTGCCTGCTACAGTTAGACGGCCTGAATGCTCAGAGTCATCTGCCATAGGGAAGGTGGCCCTAACCTGCCAGCCAGCTTTTGGGGAGTGGTTCAAGTATTTCATCCAAAAGCTGAGTCCATCTCTGCAGCAAGTGAGCAGCCAATCTAACCAGCCATCCGTTCCTGCAACACACATGTATTGCGTACCTACTATATGCACCAGAGATTCTACAGGGAACACAGGATGGATGGGATCCAGCCCTCTTGAGAGAGTTACAGTGTGGTTTGCTAGGGGGTGGGGCACGGATGTGGACAGGATAGAAAGTGATCGGAGCCAACTTCCAACAGGTGGCATGAGGGGTGGGGCGGCAGCATGCTGGTTAGAGTCAGAAAGCCCGGGCTGTGGATTTTGGCTCTTCTGTTCACTGACGCAGAGCCTCACTTAGTTTCCCCTGCTGTTAATAGGGATAATAATACCACTGCAGGTTATAAAGAGGATTAAAACAGAATATAAGAAGTGCCAAGCCAAAAGGCTTTCAGCAAACTGTAGTTAATGTTATTATGTGTCCAGATGTCACCAGGGAAGAGCCCCTGCCCAAATTACCCCTCCATACATCAGCTGGAACACCTGAAATACTAGTATGAGGGATTCGGGTTTTGAGTTTATGGTTTGATTGCTACAAGGTCCCTGTGAAAATGCACATGTATTGCTTGAAAGTGCTAACACAATGAGTCAGTGGAAGGGATGAATTAAGTCAGCAAAGAGCAGACTAGAACTGGAGAATGAGGAAAAGGATACTATGACCCAGCTACATGCAGGCACTGTGCAGCCTGTGTTTTTCATACCCAATTTCCCTCAGATAATTGACCTAAGCTCCTGGTAGCTCAGTGTCCTCATCTGAAGACCCTAATAACAATAGCATCTCTCTCATAGGATTGTTTTGACAGGTAATTAAGATATTACAGGAAAAGCACAGCCACCATGCCTGGGCACGCCAGAACTGGAGGCCCAAGCCTGTCTGAATGGTTAGGAAGCATGTGGAGCTTGTGTCCATCCAGTAAGAAGGGAGACAGCAAAAAGGGAGGAGGGAGCACTCAAGTTCATCTGCGGCCAGAGCACTTACGATGCCATAGTAATATGACCACAGAGCACGGCTTCACCAGCTATTTTCCCTGGATACAGGCCCAGGAGTGAGATTACTGGATCATATGGTAGTTCCAGCTTTTGAGGACCCTTCACATAGTTTTTCTATAATGACCTGACCTGACTAACTGACATTCTCATCAATGATGTTATAAGGGTTCCCTTCTCTCTGTATCCTCATCAACATTTGTTACCACCAGCTGAAAATGGTCAGTGAAGGGATAAGGAAAAGCTGATGCAGCTGGATCCTTTTGTGATGGCAATAGGAAAGACGAGATCGTTACCAGATCTCTCTGACCTTGAGAAAATCTGTTCCTGAAATTCCACCAGTTCTGGAAATGCCACCTAATTTTAAGGTGCATTCTCTCTTCTTGTATTTCTAAGGACTAAAATGTGCTCCATGTGTAATATTTTAAGACAGGGGAATTGATCATAAGATGGTGCCAGCAGAAAAGATTGAGTTATATATGGTTAAAAGATCTGAAAGTAATGTAAACACAGAGACTTCTTGTTGCAATAGTCCACAGGGGGGCATTGCATGACAATTCATAATTTATGGAATTTTCTATTCCACCACTAGACACCTGAAGATCACAAACTCCTACACACAAACGAATGACAACTCTGTTATCATCTCAGTGGGAATTGATTCTCTTTTGTCTTTATTAACTCATACTCTTCTTCTGATGGGAAGGGTTGATTTTTTTTCCCAAAAAGGTCAAAGGCAACAAAAGCAAAAAAAAAAAAAAAAAAGTGGGACTACATTAAACTAAAAAGCTTCTGCACAGCATAGGAAACACATCAACGAAGTGAAAAGGCAACCTGACAGTGGGAGAAAATATTTGCAAATTATATATCTGATAAGGGGTTAATATTCAAAATATGGAAAGAACTCATACAACTCAATGTTTTCCTGATAGCTCAGTTGGTAAAGAATTAGCTTGCAATGCAGGAGACCCTGGTTCAATCCCTGGGTTGGGAAGATCCCCTGGAGAAGGGAAAGGCTACCCACGCCAGTATTCTGGCCTGGAGAATTTCATGGACTGTGTAGTCCATGGGGTCGCAAAGAGTCAGACACGACTGAGTGACTTTCACTTCCGCTCTCATACAACTCAGTAGCGACAAACCAAACAATCTGATTTTTTTTAAATGGGCAGAGGATTTGAATAAACATTTTCCCAAAGAAGACATACAGATGCCCAACAGGTATATGAGAAGGTAATCAACATCACTAACAGGGAAATGCAAATCAAAACCACAGTGAAGTTCCAGTCACAACCGGGTTCCCAGTGGACAATCACAACTTAGATTTTGTGGAATTTCTAAAAAAAGACAAAGCATACTAACTAAACAAAGAATTGAGCTCATGGGCACACAGAAAAAATTGGTAGTTAACAGAAGTAGGGGGATAGGGAGTGGAGAAAATGGGTGAAGGGTGTTAGAAAGTACAAACCATTAGTTCTAAAATAAATGAGTCCCGGGCATGTGATATACAGCACAGTGACTATAGTTAATAACGTGTGTGTGTGTGTCTGTGTGTGTGTGTGTGTTTGTGTGTGCGCGTGCGCTCAGTTGTGTCTCTTTGTGACCCCTGGGGCTGTAGCCTGCCAGCCTCCTCTGTCCATAGAATTTTCCAGGCAAGAATACAGGAATGGGGTGCCATTTCCTCCTCTAGAAGATCTTCCTGACCCAGGGACTGTACCCACAACTCTTGTGTCTCCTGCATTGACAGGTAGATTCTTTTTTTTACCTCTGTGCCACCTGGGAAGCCCCCATAATTAATAAGACTGCATTGTATATCTGAAACTTGCTAACTGAGTAGATCTTAAAAGTTCTCTTTACAAAGAAAAAAACATTGTAACTATGTGTGGTGAGGGATGTTGACTAGCCTTATGGCGATCCTTTCACAACACATACATATAGTGAATCGTTTTGTCCATACCTGAAACTAATGAAATGCTCTGTGTCAGTTAAATCTCAATGTAAAAATATGTATCAACTTTGGAAACAGAAAAGATGGAGGAGAGATCAAGATGGCAGAGTAGAAGAACGT